TCTTATCACGGGGCTAAATCATGGTAAAGCAACACAGGGGCCCAGTTACCGAGTCAAGGGACCTCCACGCGAGGGGGCTGCTCGTTATCATAGCATTCATGCCACAAGATCACCGGCAGATACGAAAGGAGATAAGCCTAATGGATTACCCCGCGGTTCTAGATGCAAATGTCGCGTTTTCTACCCTTCATTTGGTTAAGGATATCACGGTTAAGGTTCCCGATTATCAGCGGTTAGCAACTCCGAGCGCTAGCTCCCCGCAATTCTCGGAATAGCTAACCGTTAGCCTTGTGAGCCACTGACACGCAAGCCAATGTGATATCTTTCACTGAGAATTGTGGAATAGAACCTCTACCCATATGCCATCCGGAAGATATAAGTAGTGGTCGATAAGAAAGGGGCTTTCTGTAACCATCATCCCACGCAATCATACTGTTGAGTCATTCAACGACAAGTGCTACGACCTCATTCCATTGACATTCAATTCTATTGCCCTCCTCCAATTCACGTCTAAGAAAGGCCTGGAGCATACTACTGTTTCACTGTCACCATGGAGAACTTGCCAGAGCCAATTCAGTACCACTTGAAGCCAACCAAGCTGATCCCTAATTCACCCAAACCACTACTCCATTACAAGAACGCTTTCGTCAAAGACGGTCAAGTCGATCGTACCAAAGCATTCGATACTTTTTGCAGCAATGAGTGGGACGTACAATGGGTCGTTAGATACGGTCAACATCAGCGTTCCCATTATCATTCCCAGTCCCACGAAGTTATGGTAGTTGTCTCCGGCCCTGGCCGAATCCGCTGGGGTGTTGCGGACTTAAGTGATGATCCACAAGAGCATACTTCTGGAACAGCCTATGAAGATGGAGGACTGGAGCTCGAGGTCAACGTGGGAGATCTCTTTGTCATCCCAGCAGGCGTTGCACACAAATCATACGATCCATCTGCTAACACGGAATCTTTTGGGTGTATGACTGGAGACGCTCGTGGGATTGCGGCCGAAAACCCGAGGATTGCTGTTGCAGAGGTGCCACTGGAAGGGTTCTGTATGATGGGGGCTTATCCGAGGGGATTTTCATGGACATGGGATGAGGGAGGCGATAGTGCAGACGACTTCGAAGCAGTATGGGACGTCAAGAATCCTGCCGCTGATCCATTTACTGGAGGAGATGGTGGTATCAGCAAGTACTGGAAAGCTTAAGTGAGAGCCCAGTAAAGGGAAGATTGGCATGACTTTGCAAGGTTGTAAATAAGGCTTCTATCTTGTAAGTCTATCTTATTATAATAATAGTTTATAACAGCATTTAAAAAGTCTATAAATGTAAGTGGGGAAAAAAGGATGTCCGAGAGTGGGTGGTAGGACCTGAGATTGGCAGAAGAAAGGGTCTGGCCGGGGATTGAACCCGGGACCTCTCGCAAGCTGAGCTGTAGGGTTTTCCCTAAGCGAGAATCATACCACTAGACCACCAGACCGGGAGTGAATTAGCACGTGATGTGGTTAAGATACCGGTTTCAAAATGATCAATATATCCATGGCAAGCACGAATCGCATAAAACGCTTAACTTTTTGCATATTGGACATTAAGTGCAATGTTGTATAAGCACTTCAGTTCGACAGTTATAATAAAACTTAAGCAGAATATAATGGTATTAACTCTATTAGCCTATGTTGCCTAGTAGACATCTCTTAAGCTTTAAGTCGATTACAGATTGTTTAGACAATTGACCTAGCTGGGAACAAATTCATGTTTCCAGCATTGCCGATTATGACATGAACTTTGGAGACCTTGGGCTTCACTGTCTTTAGAAATTCCACCAAGGAGATTAAAAAGAAAGTTAGGTCTAAGACTTATTAGAGTCAAACGGGTCTAGCAATAGGCAAAGGTCTCAAACTCGTCTACACTCTGTGAACAACCGTCAATAGGTTACGTGTTGTTCTATGTGGCCAGGGACTTTCACACCATAATTCAGGATTCGCTGAATTCTTTCTTTGGTGTAGCAAGTCTTTCTACTGGGGATGTTTTGCAGAACCAAGTAAGTCTCTGTATTTCTTGTTTTTTACAAACAAGTCACCGCATTTTAAGCTCAGTGCGGATGGATGCATTAGAGACGAAAACAGCATATCTCCTAGACCTCTCAATCAGTAGTGGAACTGCAGTAGAATAAACTCAGTATTCTAGCTCTAAGTAGCCCAAGTCTGTAGATGAAACGAAATACCATTAACGTGCTGTCCAGGAGATAGCGTCTATATTGAAGAACCCCCACAGATGAATCTGGAGTGACATTACCAAGTAACGCTGCACAAGACTGCTTTGAAGATACCACTGGGGGAGACGTTGCTATCTACCATATCGGTCGTAGCATTATCATCTAAAGCAAGCTCCTGTCCAAAGCCGCAGCAAGCATGCTCTCTTTAAAACAAGCAACACTTACTCCTCGAAACCCGCACTGTATCGAGGGTTACCCAGTACTTGGATGTTTTCCTTCCTTCTGGCACTGCAGTTATGTCGTAGGAGTTATGCAAGAGTGACTTAAGACTGGTAAACGGGCTTTAGGCCTTTAGCTCCTCACTTTGACTTTAATGCTTACTGAGTGGGACTTTTGTTGTAGGTCAACTGCCGAGCTCTGAATTTAACAACATATTATTATGGAGTACACTTGCCAATCGAGTGATCCTGCAGGGCTTAGTGGAACGACCATTACCCTTGGCCGTTCAATGTATCTCCGACGTGCTTTGTGGCGTCTGTGAGATCGCAATTCTCCCCAGATTCTTCTATTTATCTCACCAAAGCCCAAAGTGGTCGCCATGAACGCTCAGACGCTGTAACAAGAGTCGGATTTCCCTGCATATACTACTTTCAGATATTGGGGCGACGCCAGCCATGAGAGGCCAAGACCAACAGGTTTAAGAAAGCCATCCGTTGTAGCCGGTATCTAGAAAGCCCAAAACTTCTAAAGATCAGCAAAATTGACAATTGGGCAAACCCTAATGCCTCGTATAGACTGTAGAAGATAAAGACCCATCTTCGGGGTCTTGATAAGCTATCCAATCGTTTGCTTTAGCCATGATCCGCCCCTTGCCGAAGACTTTAACGTAGTCGTTCTTGCTGACGTTGGCTAGACTAATTCTCTCTAAACGAGACCTGAACGAGACTGTTCTGGTTGAAATCTGTCGGATGAGCGGACGCACCTCCGTAATCAACCCCTGCATCCCGCTCGGTGACCCCACAGGTCAGCTGCAGTACTGCGTACCTTCGGTATCCCCGTAGCCCAAACCACGCTTTGGATGGTGCGGATGGGTTAGTTAGAGTTGAGCTCGCCTGGGAGCTGAAGCTTAATTGTGTGCCTTATCCTCTTAAATGGCGTGGTTTCATGTTCCTGTTGGTGGGTCTCTTGTCAACCTAGTTATTGTGATGGGTCTGATGGAAAGTGTCATCTCAGGATGATAGACTAGATGCCTTTATCCTTCAATAAATAATTGTTCAATGCTTCCTTTGGGTGCCTGACACTTCTCTAGTATCGAAGCTCAATACTTATACCTTTTACCTTTTCCTACCCGAAGTATTGGGAGTCAAAGAACTCGACAGGTTAATCATCAATCTCTATCATGACAATCACTTTAGTGAAATTGGTACCGGATCGTGGCGCTAATGGCCTAGCGTTGTAGCCTTAAATAGGCAATGCTCCGGGACTAAACGCATAAACATCATCCTCTCTTATGAGATGAGATGCTTGCGTCCAGGGTCACAAAAACCTCGGGTATGCCACTGTGCCGAGTTCCGTACTTGATGTTTCTTCATTATGCATATTTATGGCTGATGGCACCTGTCACCTCGAAGTTTCACCTCGGCCTGTAAAGCTTCACTAGCTAGCGACCTCCATCACGCCACAGGACCCTTAATCATTAATGTTATCTGGTCCTAGATAACACTATGCTTAGTTGTGCGTTTGCATGTGTAGGAAATGTTGTTGATTTATTCATGTTCAACGAGTTCAGTCTTCTGAGCTATCAAGGAATTCTGGCTTAGGGAGCCGGCACGATATTCAATGGGCTTCCGGGAATCCCGTGTGAGCTTGTAATATAGCCCCCATCCGAGCGTTTCTCGGCAGTTTATTTTCATAAGGTGGAGAGTATTCCCCAGACCTTTTCCCGGTCGTTGGGTTTACAAACGTCCCGCGGGATCCTAGTCTTTTGCTTCCTCCCGGGTCCCCAGCTATGAGAGTAAGAGACCTTGCAGGGGTTCAGTACGAGCTTGCGAAAGTTTCTGCACATCAACAGCCATGGCCTCCAATAAGAGCGGTTACCAAGGGGCATCGTAGTCAAACCACTAAAATAACGGGCCGATTATGCAACATTGGGTGTAAGTGAACAGAGCCTTCTGGGGGGGCGGGAGAACAAAAGAATCCTCAACTTTGTAGGACACCAGGCGTTCATGGAATACAGTACTATATACTACCATTTCATCAAAGAACTCCAGCAGGGTTCCAGTGTAAACAGCAGTGGACGACTTACGATGGGAAAGCCGGGATGAAAGATGCAACACATTCGAACGGGTAGATTTGGTAAACATGCCAACGAAAGCAGCTGTCTGTGGACTTGGAGTCCCCTTTTCCAAGTTCTCTCTCATCTCCTCAACGTGGCGAATGAAAGGGGACCCTAACAGGCTGTACCTTGATTAGTTCAGTCGAGCCAAAGCTTCCTACCCTTGTGGGTTCTGGCCAAAGTTGTAATACGGGCGTATTGTTAATCTGAATCTCATGATGCTCGTAACCAGAACTTCCAAGCATCAAGGTTTGTGAGTCCTCGTATAGATGGACCAAGTTCTTTCAACTGCCGGCATTTTCTTGTCTTTCTAGCAGACCTAACAGTATATATATCCCACATTCATCTCTTACCAACATGTTCAAAAACTATTCTTCTTTCTTTCACACAACAGCCTCTTCATCTCGCAAGCATACAGCACTCCTTCATCTATCAACTCTTCTCAGTCAGCATGAAGTTCTCTATCATTACATTATCCCTCATCACTCTCGTCACTGCAGCACCTGCAGCCGCGCCTCAGAGCGGTGAGATCTCATATGGCGCCCTCAAGCACGACGGTGTCCCTTGTTCACTCAGGGGCGCCTCAGCCGCGAACTGCCGTCCTGGTGCTGAAGCCAACCCATATAACCGGGGCTGTAGCGCCATTGAAAAATGCCGCGGTGGTGTCGGTAACAACGTAAGCTCACAGACGACATTTCTCAGTTGCAACGCCGACTAACTATTTATTCAGTGAGAGACAATCCATTAAGTTCGGCTACTGGAATGGTTTGGACGGAGCCGGAGGGTCAGAACATAAGTGAACTGCAAGTTATGATAGAGCCTAGATTTCTCATCCGACCGACTTATGTACAACCTGGAACGGTGTTCTTAGTTCACAGTTGCTGTAGATCTTTGTTGTTCATTAGGACAAGATCATTCATTTCCTTCTTTGTCTATGAGCTTATCCGTTATTATTGAGGAATAGCCTACCAACAGTCCATATGCTGTGATCTTACCTGTGACTACACTCATCAATAGCATAGAGAGCAAGTGTTACAAATTCAGTTCAGGCGGGAAAGGAAAGAGGTTATTGTTTCAATTAGAATATGCCTCTTGCCGTTTCTATAGTATTTTAAGTCTATTAGAATTAATATTTGCTGTCGATCTTGCAACGCGACCGGTTCTTTAGTAACCTATGGCAGGCCAGAAAACACCTATCATTCTTATAGTTACCAGGAGATAGTTATTCTGCATCTTCACTGGGTCAGAGGATAATGGGGTCTGCCATCGCTCTTTCAAGTTGCACGTACCGAACTCGTGTTAATGGGATTTGGTTCATTTGAGAGCAAAATTGCAAACCAGCCCATTCGTTTACATCTTGGGACTAAGTGAAGTCAGGATGCAGTAATTCCTTGTATTAAATAGTAATAGATAGTATAACCCTTTTATGTCTAGCTTTTGATATAAAATTTAAATATTATAGTATTTATTGTTAGTCTTGAATGTATTCCAGTGATAAACAGGTTGGAGCCTGTCGTTCTGTTTTCGGGGCTTGAGAGGTTGTTATGGAGATTGATGCTCAATCATGAGCAGACCATCACGGGCCTGATCAACTTTCTTGTCGCCAAGATAGCATTGTGGATCAGCAGGGCGATCATGAACTCACGATATGAACATTATCAGGTCCAAGCTGTTAAAAATGACGTTGAAACATATACATTTTAAATGTGACTGCAGGGTAGCAACGGCATACATTTCCTCATGTATGCCTTATCGGCTACCAACTGCTTGGGTAGCATTGGGAGCGATAACGACAGCCTTATCTTGGCAGACAGAGCCGGTGTGAGATTGGGAGAGAGATTGGAGAGCCAATCACTGGAACACTGTACTGATCGGACTCAGCCGATTGGTAGATTGTGATCCTCACTCCTTAATCAAGGAATCGCCGTCCGCGGTAATCCGCCCCACTTAAGTAAAATAAGAAGCACGTCAGCAAATGCATCATTCCAAAGTCAAAATGCGCGCCGTTTCCCGGCGCCAAATTAGTTTCTTCACTCCTTTATTTTACGTGTTTTTTTTCTTTCCGTTTTGAAGATTCTACTGCCTGAGCTGCGTAAAGCAGCCAGGTCACTCTTGCAACTATGGCGTCTGTACATATCGTCTGTCTTTACATCATTGCTTCTTTCACTGTTGGCGTCTTATCAACGACTTCTCATGAATCTGACGTAATCATCTATGGCAACACGGTTGCCGCGCTGGCTGCTGCCATTCAAACCGTTCGTATGAACAGAACCGCCACTTTAGTCTTTCCGACATCACGAATCGGCGGTCTTACTACTTCGGGATTGGGCTGGACGGACTCAAAGGATGGAAATACCATTGGTGGAATTGCCAGGGAGTTTTACGGCAAAGTGTACGAATATTACGACAACGACGACGCGTGGACGCGTGAAACACGAGACGACTATCTCGCAAAACATATCGAGGCCCAGCCTGGACCAGCTATTGGCGACAAGGTTCAATGGACGTTTGAGCCCAAAGTAGCGGAGGAGATCTTGGAGAAGTGGATCAAGGATGAGGGAATTCCTGTCTTTCGCAACGAGTCCATCCTTCGTACTAGCAGCGGCGTGAAGAAGGATGGGACCGTCATCAAATCATTTCAAACGCGGTCCGGGTCAACTTTCTCTGGAAAGATGTTCATTGACGCTGGCTACGAAGGCGACCTCATGGAGACAGCAGGCATATCATATCGCGTTGGGCGTGAAGACAAGCAGGAGTTTGATGAGTCGGCGGCTGGTATTCACTTCAACGAGCCCAGGAGACTGGCTGCCATTGACCCATACAATGATCCTGATGATCCTGATAGCGGTCTGCTCCCTGGGGTTGGTCGCGTGATCACCAAGTTCGCCGCTTTGGAGTCGCGCGGCAAAAAAGATCATCGACTTCAAGCCTTCAATTACCGACTATCTTTAACGAGAGAGGATGACAACAAGGTGGAATTCTTCAAGCCCGACCGCTACAACGAGTCCGATTACAAGATCTTGATCAGATATATCAAGACTGGCTATCTGGGGCCATTCTTCACAACACAACTCATGCCGAATCTCAAAACCGACACTAACGCTGCTGGCCAAATTAGTACTGACCTGATAGGCGGAAGTTACAACAAGACATCCAACTACGCTGAGTATTCGTACGAGGAGCGGGAGGCTGCTGCGAAGAGGCACAAGATCTGGGCGCAAGGACTTCTCTGGACATTAGCGAACCACAAAGATGTACCGGACTTTATTCGCAAGAACACCAGTGCCTGGGGCTACGCGAAGGATGAGTGGACTGACAACGGTAACTGGCCATACGAGATATACATTCGCGAGGCTCGACGGATGGACGGCGTGTATACCATGACACAAGCCGACATTCAGCACCCGAAGCCGTATGATAACGACACTGTCGTTGCAGTCGGTTACTATACCCTTGACGTCCATCAGGTCGAACGTGTCGTTATCAATGACCGGATACATGACGAAGGTCTGATTCACGTTCCCAATCCAGGGCCTTTCAGCGTCCCTTATGGATCAATCGTTCCCAAGAGGGAGGACGCCACCAACTTCGTCAACCCCGTGACAATGAGCGCCACGCACATTGCTCTGTCTGCAATCCGCATGGAGCCTGTCTATATGATCATGGGACAGAGTGCGGGGGCAGCCGCTGTTTTGGCCATTGAGGATAATGTCGCCGTGCAAGATGTTGATCGAAAGAAGCTGAAAGGAAGGTTGAAGGATCATGCACAGGTCTTGGAATCTTTCTCTATCACGTTGAAGCCGAGTCAAGGTTTACTTTTAGTTGGTTTCATTTCGTGCATTTTTTATCTTATATAGCAATAGAGGCATATAGAATGATAGGGTTTAGTGTTTTATTGCGTTCACTGCACGAAACGTAGTCTTGTATGCATGCCGATCACCAACTTCCATTGACTTAGGGAAAGCTATAGAATCTCAGACAATCATGGGGACGCTTGTGGCACTCTTATACAGTAATCATGCTCCTTTGAAGTCACAAGTACTCGTCTATTGGGCATAACTGTTCTCGGTACACTGTCATAGCTGATCTTGCTGGCAGTAAGGACAACGTCAATTAAGAAGGTTCCGTCATAGATAGATCATTAAATCCATAACATGATAATCGTATGAATATCACAAAAGTATGAAAGGTTGTTTTAATCGGGAAATCTGTCCTTGTTGAAGACTTCATAAGTACCTCTCCAAAACCTTGAGTTATTTGGGAATTTCTTTTGTGTTGGCTTGATGTATTTCGCTGGGAAATCATGAGTGTTAGCGTTAATAATGAGACCATCCAAGAGCACCTCTTGCCATGACCACATATAAATCCTCAACTATCTTCGGTCTGCCCATTCACTCAACTGATATGGATGTTCCTCGGAATCCTTTGCGAAACCATTCAACTCAGGCCTTTAGTCCAAAAAGCCATCGATATCTGGACGCCATGGCCCATCAGGCAAATCTATGTCTGAGTATCCACTACCTTTTGCCTTCTTGCGGCTCTGAATGACGACATCCTCGACACCAAGGAAAATTTTGACATGGAAGGATAGAATAGTGTGCTTCGATCATGTCGGCAAGAGACTTCTTTGCGGCATCTGATGCCTTGCGGGTCCCGCGCCTAGACAAATCATATATCCCTTCCACATCCATTATATCCATTCCAACGGCGTACAATGATAACGGTATAGACGCTGTCGACGGAGCTATAGCAACCTCTCCGTAGATATAACACTTTTAGTCTTCTGAGATGTAATATTAATCGCGAGATTCAGTCTTTATTCTCTGCTACTAAGTCAACTTTTAGTGTCCTCAGTGTGCTCGCCCATTTTCGACAGGCCTTCTCCAGATTATCAGTGGTGTCGAGTCTGCATGAGTCGGTAGGAATCTTGAGCTTCCGGCACTGTTGAGATATACCAGGGAGTGTAGTGCGACTAGAACCCAAGACTGTTTGCCAGCCGAGCTGCAGGGACGTCAAATTGGAGGAAAGGTACTGAAGAGAACCTTGGAGTATCCAATGCGATGGATTATCTAGGCCTAGGGTCTGGCGCTCTTTTAAAAATTGCTCGACATGATTATGTTTCGAGATCCAATTAGATAGAGGCTTTTGCGAGGCAGCCGCTCCTATTCTGTTCTAATCGCCACCATCAGACCTCAGCTGCTGAAGTCATGAAGTGACTTAATATGACTATAGGTAGTGAGCATAAACTATAATCTCTTCAACCGATCCAGGAAAACGCAGAATTATGGGTTGTACGCCAGTTTCGCATACTAAACTGTTTTCTCAAGAGAATCAAATTTCAATTGCTATTCTCCCTAAGGCCTCATATACCTTTCCTAGGGACGCTTGTTAGTAATATAAAAATAAAACCTCTACTCTTAATAAGCTTCGTAAACCTCCTTTACAGAGTCAATCTCAACTAAAGTACTAATAAGACATTTAAGACAAGCCTGCACTTGCTTTTCTTCGTCAGCAGGACAGGAGGAATTGACTTTGTAGCCTAATAAAGTAGCAGTGATCTCCCGAAGCTTTGAAACCTACAGAGAACTTAGCATGTATTCAAATTATTCAGCATCCTCTTCCAGTATTCCAGCATGGCGGAGTCAAGTCTGCTGCACCTTCTAGGGGAAACCTACAGCTGCGATGCCGTTTGCTTTTAGAGCAGAGACGGGTGTGATGATGATAATATCACAACATTCCTGGGCGATATCCTTGCGAAGCTTAAACAGTTGATGGTTAGCATTCTGGCTTTCTTCCAAGAGGAGACCGTGCTCAGATCCTGTGGAACTCGGGTTTCGATTGTCCTGTTGAAAGGATGGGTTACTGCCGGATAGTGTCGCCAGGATAATACTTTGAATAAAAAGGCTCGTCATATGTACATTCGTCCTCAAGATGACAAATGATAAGAGACCTTTGTTGGGGTTTCCATCTAGGTTGAACATTCTAAACTCCTCCGGTAGCTGCTGGATCACATCTCGCACGGCGCGTACGATATCGAGGCCTTGTTCAAGAGAGAGTCCTTGGGCGTCAGGGCTCTTTAAAGTTTCTGATGAAGAAGAGGCCGAGAAAGGGCCATATCGCGGGTTCCCAGGTAGCTTATCTAGGCCCAGTGCAGCTGCGCAGAGGTATAGTTTCACCGAGGCGATGAACCCAGCTATCAGCGGCGTGTCTCTGGGCTCTTCGCTTCGTTCTATGTCCCCGGGATTCACATCATCGACCTCCTGTAACACAAGGAAATCCCAATCAATGCAGACTGGATTGTAACTGATGCCGGTGTGGGATACGGGATACGCCAGTCTGTCGTGGCTGCTAGAGTTAGTGAAGTTAAAATAAAATGCGCTTTGGAACGCCGCAGAAGGTTTTACATACGCCATCATGATAAATATTAACCAAAATGCTCGCTTGCATATTTCCAGGTCTATCGGGTCCAGATCATTATTCAGTGCTTGCCTCAAGAAGCTTAGTTTCCTCATGCACAAGACCGCCGCAGAGGCGTGCACCCATCCATGGTATATACGACCTGAACAATGAAAAGCCACGCTCAATATGTATGAGCATAGCATATCTTGCACGCCGGGAAATATACCGATTGCTGGATTCTGCGACATCTTGCTAAGGACAACCAAACGATGGGCCTTTTCTAACATGCTGATAGCTGTCTCCTCAGGTTGAAACCCGTAATGTCGGAAATCGTGTGGTGAAGAGGAGACAGTAAGGGCGGACAGGGAAATGCACAGTCGGTAGAAGCTTGGGTCTGACTGGTAGCGTTTGTTTTGGAAATCTGCCCGAAACCTCGGTCGATGTACAATGGGATAGAGAGGATAAAGGTACTCGAGATAGTCTGAGATCAACATTTCAAACAACTCCTCAGAGCAGAGATGCTCGATCGTCAGGGGTACAATAAGTGTCCATGCCCGACTTTCCGAAGAGCAATTCACGGGGATGTCTCCATCACTTAAACCGCTGCAATCAGCAATGTGACTTTGGGCTCTTGCTTCCGCCACTCGGCTACACAGATATGTCAGCAAGTGTTCATTATCGCCCGTCAGTTGTGAGTGATAATTACCGGTTAGGTGGGCCTCGAGGCTTACGGGTAGTCAGAAAGGTGCAGGGCATCTCGACCTGTGCACAACGTGTGCATGACAGAGGCAGCCCTGGACTTGTGTGTTCGAAGATACACTATGCAAACGTCAACTTCATGATGCGGGGAATCGACACCAGAAGCCACATACCTGCAGCTTGCGGCTACGGCATAGGTCGCAAGCTCGCCTCGCTATGGGCTTGCCTTTTCTTGAGCTCTGTTTCAGAGGCATAGCGTTCCAATCAATGTTTTAGCCGCGGCAAGTTGTCAATTCATAGGAACAACTGGAGAAACATGAGGCGGTGACGGCTCCTCGCCTCCAAAGCCCATAGTAAATACTAAACACTCGCTTTTGGTTGGTTCAAATGATTCACAGATTATCTTATGTAATGAAACTTCGCTTCTCATCCAGCCTTTTCAGGTTAGGTCTAGTACCCCACTAAGTCACATGTAACATTGGGGTTTCGAAAACTACCTTGGCAAGGAGCAAGTGACCAAACCAATCAGCCAAACGAGAAACTTGGCGATCAAGACCATGCAGCCAAAGCACACAATGATAAGACAGTCACTATATAACTGTTAAACTCAGCTATTCGCTATAGTCTTCAGCATCCCATCCAAACAGACTATTATTTATGTACGGGGATGGAAGCGCGCCACCAAAGCCGGCTTTTTCCACAACAGAAACAGCTTTGCATCCCTAAATAGATCGACATTATTATTCACCAATTCCCAATCGAAATGATAAACCATCTTAGCCAGGATAATCCTCATCTCCAAATACGCCAAATTGATGCCCAGACAAGATCTTGGACCAAGGGAGAAGGGCTGACTTGCTTGCTTAATGTCACAGAAACTCTCGTCAATCCAACGCTCCGGGATAAAAGAATAGGGTTCTTTCCAATAGCGCTCATCATGCTTAGTAGTCCAATGATCCACACTCACAACGACACCTGAAGGAATATAGTGACCGTCGACGACAGCACCGGGTGAGATACGGGGAAGGCCGAACGGCGCAGGGGGGAAAATCCGAAGTCCTTCTTCAATAACTGCATGGAGGTACTTCAACTCCGCAGTGGCGTCTCCTGTGATCTCGGCCTCCGACTGGAATCGCGAACGCACTTCGTCGGTGAGTTTCACTAGACAAGACCGATTCGAAAGGAGGCAATAGACGATCCCGGTCAGACCCGTAGCTGTTGTTTCCGAACCGGCTACAATGAGCGTGTGCGATTGTTGGCGGAGTTCGTGCTTCGGAATATCATTGCCGCCCTTGGCCAATAGATGCGAGAAGAAATCTCCGCGCTCTTCAGAATTGGGCATCTCAAGTCGTTTGAGCATTTTCTGGTTGGTCAATTCCATGTGCCTACGATGCATTTTGCCCGAATCCTTTGGCACAATAAAAGGCAGATACAGGGTTATTATCGGAAGGCGTTTCCTCAACATTGAGAGCATGTTGAAATAAGTTGCATCGATAATCAGCGACACCCAAAAATGGGGCCGTCCTTCGGCGACGGCAGAAAAAGACTCGCCGAATGCAAGGTCACCTAGATTATAACAATCAGAGCGCGAAGAAGGGATGAAAAGAAAACACCTTACCAATAACATCGAACGTAAGCCAGTTGAGGGCTTCCTCAACATTGATGCCAGATCCCTTAGGATTACCAAGCTTACGCAATTGGCCAATGAACATATCCACGTAGCGGTGGATGAGCGTTTCTTGAGCACGTAGAGACTTCGCGCTGAATGCATGGGACAGATACTTTCTTTGTCTCGAGTGTTGGGCGGGATCCCTGACACTGACAATACCAGGGTGGTCTCCTGATGTATCATACCAGTCACTCTTGATAAACTTCTTCTTTCCTTTGGTTGCATGTCCGTAAATATCGTTGTATGCTTGAACATTTGCGAAGGATAGTTCGTTGGGAGCTATTCTCACCACATCGCCTTAAGAAGGACAAATCATCAGCTCATAATAATAAAACCAGAGTTAGGAAATGGTTGAAAGGACCCGGAGATATGTGGATGTTGAGAAAATTCGATGAGGCCGAGAAAAGAGATTTACCTACCATATTTGCGATGCGTCTCTTCCATGATGAATGGATATCGACCAGATGTCCATTTCAAGCCGTACCAGAGCTATCAGAACCCAAATCAGCTAAGAAAATGCGCAAAGGGCGAGAACGTAACCTACGTCAGAAACAGCTGCCAACTTGGGACCTGGGAACTGTGCAAGCGGGTGGAAAAGAAGGCGGTATATGATGTTGAGAAGCCATATAACCCCCTGGAGTTTACGTAATGTAAGTAACTGTCTTAGGAAGTTTTACTTTGAACATGATCACTTACCAAAAGACACGAAAGACCGCCGAAAATGCTGAAGATGGCTGCCATGGTCGATATTGCGAGCTATCAAGCATAAACCTTAGAGAAAGGGATGGATTGAAAGAATGGTCGCAGAAAATAGCTGACAGCGTTGACGCTTTATATACCTATTGACCTGCTCTGTGCGACTTTTAATCTTGTAATGACAGGGGGCGTGTATTCGTAACGTTGTGTCATCTCATGCTGTTTTGGTCGAACAAATGATTCATTTACGTGATCGGCGGCGATCCACAGCCCTGAGGGGTTTTAGACATAAACCATGTACTTACTTATGGGGATTCTTTATCCTCACTAGGCTCTGATTCTTTTTACAGATATTCTGTTTGGAAAGACAGGGCTGTCTTTATCTAATAAAACTATAAGAAAGGAAATACTTATTATTTGGCTACTGTTGGCAAGCTAACATTTGAAATCCTTATGGGCTGTAAGGTTAATAGCCATTCGGACCATGTAGCGTAAAATTCGTGTTAAGGTAGTATTCGTACTGCTATATGTGACACTATGTACGACAAAAGTTCGAACATTGGCTAATATATTGCTGCAGTTCGAGGTTAGCATGGAGTACGTTCACATTCTCCGACCTTAGTCCGCCGTATGGGCCGTGGTCTGTGCCCTCCCTACTCAAGATACTCCGACTTTAGTCCGCTGATCTGCAACAGATATTCCTTCATTACTCGTGTAGCTATCCATATAACTAGCCGAATTATACATGAATCGTTGATGTGATCCAGAGGGCACGCTAAATTTCGCCAAGCCTTGGTCTTCATCTTGGAACAGTGCAATAAGTAGAGTCATAAGCTGGGTCCAGACATATGGATCCAACACTCGCGCTTCAGCTTAGACGGTCACGGAGTCCTGGACGAGTCCGTTGACAATCCGACAACCCGAAGTCCTACTAACGAACTCGGGAGCTTGCATGTAAAGTAATTAGCATAAGTACGACCTGAATAACCATGGGACACACCTACATCAGCCCACTACCAATAACGACAGCGAGACTCGGAAAATACATAGAAGAGGTTCTATCAAGGAATTCGCGTCACTTGGTTTACCCTGGAAAACTAGCCTCGACTCCTATGTCTGGGGCTTCCCCAGAGTGAGATCCTACCACAATAAATAACGATGGGGTTGCCCGCCGTAGCTACCTGACTTTGCTCAGTAGCCAACATTCACATCAACTGGCCACCAAGTAGACATTTGTGAATAGATATGACGCTCGAGAGGCTCTGGCATACGTGACAGAAGATACCAACGATGTTCACAAGTTCGTGAACCCTTCTTCCATCAAAACGTTGATAATAGTAATGAACCCCATGGCGCTTTATGCTCTACTGGATCACCACCAACTGTGGGAACTAATACCACCTGTCAAGCAGCCCAGGCTTACGAGGATCCCAGTTTGGTTTTGTTGGTATCGAACTGGACGTCCCTATGCGACCAACCGGCAACTTCTACTACGGCGGCGGCGGCGACACACAGCTTGTCAATCGGGGGCGGGACCCCGATGGCTCTACCTCATTGGCCGGATGTCGGGGCATTGTGTAAGTAGTATGTTCTGAGACCATTCAGCCGAGGTCATATGGGGGATTCAGCTGCGAGCGGTATCTTGCACTCTCTCGCTAAGATTAGCTGGCACGCTGGATACACTGCCACCAGCGTTGTACTACAGGCCGTTTGTGCAGTGAATCTCACTCTAGTCTAGCCAGAGAAATGCGAGATCTTGCCGGAGAAGAGAATCTGGAGGTTCCCTGTAGCGGCAAAAACATGGCTGTGTGAGATGATATGCGGTTGCCACAGTCGCCGGATAACCGCCCATGAAGCAGCCCATGTCTTTAAAGGCTGAGCCGTGGTGGTCGGACAAGCACCGCGTAACTATGCTACACAAGATGTTGGCTGGTCATCGTTCTGGTTTGTACTGTGATAAGTTTGAGAGGTTCAAAGAGGCTCCAGTCCTCACATGTCATAAGATGCATGGGGATCGTTACGAGGAATTGCATCTTCTGATTGGGAGAATGAAGAGACCGTGAACGGATGCACGTGGATACAAGGGAGTACTATTAATTTAATCTGAAGTGCCATCAAGTCACAACAGCTGGCCAACTCCAGCATCTTTGTTAAGAGGAGTTGGAATTATCAGCACACGACCAGGCGCCTGACCCTCCAGCTGCTTTGTATGCCTGGATGATATCGACGATTGATCCATACGTACCAGCGACCATCAACAAGGTGCCGGAAGCAATAACAAACACACTCCATGCACAAGCGGATAGCCACTTGGGAGAAATAGCACGCTTCTCCCAATTATCGTAAAACCACATAAATCCCATGGTCTGGAAACACATGAGGGTACCGACGAGCGCTCCAATCAGGGAGATGAGGCTGTAGAAGATGGGAATGGCACTGGCGATGATGTAGGCAATGATTGACACGATGAATGTGCAACCTAACCAAGTGCCCCAGTGAACCGCGGAGTTGGACGCCAAATGCTTTGTGTTTCTCAGCAGTCGGACAAACATGTACTTGCTAGGTAGCTGTATTGCATTAGCGACATAAAAGTGATTGGGGATACGAGTCATACATGAGTGACAAGAGTAATCGACACGATCAATCCTGGAATTGCGACGCCATAACTGGCCTTCTTGATGGTATCGCCAGCCGAGCCAAGAGCCGGTGAGGATACATAAGACCCACAGAAGTAGTACATCACACAACCGATCGTAAGATAAGTAACGGTCACGATGGCCTGACAGATGGTCAAAGCCTTTGTGTATTGTTCGGGTCGTCGCATCTCAGCAACAATGGCAAAGAAGCCTGGAGTGCCACCGAATGCTGAGACAAGGGAGCAGATTGCTGAAGCGGCTTGGACGAAAGAAGGTTTGTTGAAGAGCTTATAGTCTGAGACCCAGACGCCATCTTGGGGGGCTGCTGCTGGTCGCTCTTGTACACCTGTCGCAATGGTGACCATGATCACTACATACATTAGCTATTAATCTCAAGATTCGATGTGGAACTCACCGGAGATCATGATACTGATGACGCCGATCCACGCTAGCCAGCTCATTCGAGCCAAGGTTCTGATGCTCGAGAGGCCGAAACCAAGCACTGCAGCGACGGCGACGAAGACGGCGGTACAAGCTCCATGGCTAGACACAGCATTGAGGCCAATCGAGAGACTGAGCATGCCGGCACCAGATACAAAGACCCAGTCTATTATACCGAATCAGCATTTCGCTATTCACGACTGCTATCATAACTTACAGATCCACATGGCAAAGCCAAAGAACTCTTTGCCTACGACTCCAAACATCATTTCTCCAGCATCATCGATCGCGTAAACATGACGATGTCGCAGCTTGAAGAGACCAACGATCCAATTGGACCAAGTTGTTATAACCGCAACAGCTAGCAGACAGATAATGCCGGGTATCATGCCAAGCGCGTTGAATGTTGCTGGAATCGAGAGGACGCCGAGACCGATTTGTGTTTTCATCATCAGACCAGCAGTACCGATGAGTCCGACCTGGAAAAAACTGGTCAATTCCGTAAATCATGCCATTTTTCGTCGCAAAATCTGCTTACACTTCTGTAGTCAGGACCCTCATCCGTAATCTCACCAAAAACAGCATCGTGGTGCAACGAAGCTTCATTGTCGGGCTTATTCAACTGCGAGGGAGTAAGAGCCAGACCATTACCCTCCTCGACAGTTGAATTGATGTTGTAGCTATTCATGATGATGTGTTTGCCTGAAGCAAGGATCCGCAAATTAAAAAGAACAGCAGCCGAACAGGTCTTTATACGTAAAACTTTGACTCATGCTCCATACTCAGCCCACTCTCGCCCCCAGACCCAGTATTGAGAAACTGGCCCCGGGCATCGGGAGCGCATCTGCCGAGCGAGCAAGGAGATAAACCAATTATGCAGGCTGTGATAAGTGAGCATCCGGGGTTCCCCAGATATTACCCCGCGGACGGAAGATGGGAAATTTACTGATCCAACGAGTCTAATCAATTGCAGAGCTTGAGAGGGTGAAAATTTGGTGATAACGTTCCGTACCCACTGCGGAAGTGGTAGGGCCAATCGCTTTCCGCACGCTGGACCGACTTCGGTGAGTTGGCCAATGGGAATGGCACAGACCCTTGAAGTGGTGGTTGGAAAAGGGCGTTGTGTGATACGCCTTATTACATAAATTCCGAGACCGTGCATATAACCCCGATCTTCGGTCCTTTTTGTTGAACTCAAGTTGCAGATAGGAAACTTATTATATCTTTCCAGTCTGAAATACAGATGCATTTTCTCCATTATGCAGTTTGGGAAATATCGTGTCTGATACTGATTGGTTTCGCTCATTCAAATCCCGAGCTGAAACAATTGACTTTGAGTGATAGGAGATTCGAAGACGTTACCATTAGCAAATCCAAGTTTTGAGTTTTGACCTCTTGGGAAATGATTCACACTAGGGGACCCTGCTGGCGTTTGGTAGCTCTCAGCCATGTAACCCATCTAACTTCCGTCCCGTTCATCCGTCGATCCGCAACAGCACGGAAGTCTATCTTCACCTCATGGGTATTAACATGTTGCATTTCTTATACAATCTGATGCTCGCCTATACTTGATAACCCCGTACCCGACTCCCGATATATTTCATTAAGTTAAGTGCGTGCGGACGACGGGTAATGGGCGTCTTATATTTTCCTGATCAGGTATGAGTCAAGAAATTGTCGGCAAGTCAAAGGATGCGGCCGATATTACGTGACGCTATCCGATCATTCTACGAATTCTCTCCCCCTATACCCAGCGATATCCGATATTATCTCCCTCAATTCTATGATAGAAATTTTTGGGGTTGCATGGCCATTCTATTACTTGCCTAATTTACAGGCAATGCCGGCGGCGGTCAGGTTTCCAAAAGAGACGGGGGGACTGCTGGCGAACCGGGGATCATGACACATTAACAACCGAACCCAGAGAATACTTACATCTAGAAGCCTCAGGTGGACAGTCCATGCTTC